AATGCTTCAACTTTAGGTCAAGTCATAAATGAGTTTTCCTAAGATCTTTCATCTCAAATTCCATCTTCAGGTGCGAGGCAGTTTTCTCAAGCTCTTCCGAAGTCTTAGTGAGATTCGTGTTAACAATATAAACTATAACTCTAGCAATTTGGAATAAGACTTCATAGTTTAACACGTAAGGGCATAATTCATATCCCTGACTGATCAAATAATCACTTAGACGGGTATACCACATCCGTCGGATTGTAAGTGAACGCCTCAAACAAGTTAAGAGGGTGTTCCGTGGTTTTGGAACTATTTGAATCAGTCCATATAATACTTCGGCAACTTACATGTCAATCTCCGTATCTATATCCCCATGGAGAAAACATTAACCATATTTCATAATGCTCTTATCAATCACAGGACGTTTGAGAGAAACCTTGCACCATAAAACGTGCATCATATCGCACTATTTCATTCATCTCATAATGCCTCATTTCCCACTTATAACATAATAGGGTTACCTTGGACAGTGTAGGAACGACAGGTCCAAAACACACTTTAGTAAGGAATTTGATCTAGATTGTTATTTTGGTTGTCCAATCAATTCTACGTTGTCACCTAATCAACGGAACACGGTTCGATATCGTCACTTTTCATTTATGTTGGTAGTTACAATATAAGTGAAAACATTATTGACGGTAATCTCATTTCAATTCCATTCAACTCATCCAAACTAGTATACTAGACCAAAAACTTCAAGTCTCGAGAGTAATCTGGATTAATCTCATGAGATGGAAATGATTTCAGACAACGATCGAGTATGGATTCATTGTTGTGTCGTGTCTTCCTCTTCTAGGGAAGTGAATCCTATGAATCGAGTAATCTATCGTGCTCCAGGCTAAGACAGATTGATTGGCTATCCGCCGGTGTATTGGACCGTCCAACAGAGATGTCCAAACCGTCCAACAGGGGTGGCACACCCTCCAGGGATGTTGACTCGACGTCCATTAAATATGTATATCCTTGCAGTCATGTTTGCAACTGGTATATGATCTCGTCACTTTAGCTGGATTAGAGGAATGTGTCTGGAGCAACATTCTGAAAGCTAAAATTTATCGCACTTGCGTATCATACTTGTGCGGTTTAAGGATCGAGATCAGACATAGTGGGCAATGTCCACGTAAATTCACGCCGTTCTACAGGAACGTTGATGTTCTTATCTACCCCTAACGACAGGAAGACTGTCTCATTAAAGTGACAATCCGTAAATGAGCGATAAAGAGATTGCGTGCAAGGGCTCTAAGAGAGCTAGTGTGAATGAGAATTATAATCGACAACAATTCACATCATTCTTTGAGGACCCATATTGGTATGTTACGGCGGCGCAACTTGGCACATGGAATGCACACCCAAATGCGTAAATACGAAAATCGTCAAGTTCGTGCCCAATAACAAACTGTAACGTCATATAGGTTTGGTGGCAATGGGCCTCTAGGCGGACCAACATAATTGCGTACAAGATTGCATAGCCCTAGGCAGAAACCGAAAACTTGGTACGTTTACCAAAATCTGGGCGATCATTTAAATTGCGCTTTATGATCGCTAGGCGAGGCTATTTGGGGTGAACATGGGAATTCGATGTTCAATTATAAACCCAAAATACATGCAATACTTTATCAAAAAATCATTGATATAAATTCTCCGGCATTATCCAGTCTCTCGAACTTTAAGGGATAGGTAGGGTGGTGAACCCTTAATCAGCCAGGAGGTTTAGCAGCAATGTGTGTAAACCAACATGTGACTAGTTTATCGATTCATCAACCAAAACCATTAATATTTATATGGTCCGCATTTTGGTTGGATTAGTCCACATATATTCCTTTGAATCCACTATGAAAAAAAGGTCGTTTCATATCTTTGCGAGAGATAATTTAGGAAATCAATTTCCCTAATGAGTAGGCTTGGCATCATTGTTCGACCTAAATTTCCTAAATGGTCATGTTAAAACAAGTAAACTGCTCAATCATCCAGCTCTAGATCGGCCACATATGGCATGTGCCCCAATTGGGAGACAGCCCATTGGCCCCAAATTAAAGCTTCAGGCTCATTTTTTTTGAGGTGGTGCAACGATATTTCACTTTATTTTCTTCAGTAGTTTATTTATGATCATTGTCATCTCAAATATCCTAAAAAACTCAACGATAAAGAGAATTTAAGGTCCATTAGATGGTGATGCAGTACCATTCATATAACGAGGAGCGTGCCAATGCTCTTAATCAGGTTGGATAGACCTGAAATCATTGTTAGAGATGTGATTTAGGTTTAAAGTTAGTGTGCGTAGTATCGCATTCATCCAGACAACTAATTTTCCCACATTCCTACCCAATCACGTGTTTAATTGAATCGGTCACATGTACTAAGAAACATGATTCAATTAACTCGTATTCAAGGACAATGTCAATAAGATTATCCATAACTAAAACATACACCAAACTTGTATCCAAGAACATGGAAAAAATGTTCACAAAGTAAATGGTTTACTAAGTGGATTCGGCCAACAAGGCCATCTATGTCAAAATTCTGCTATTCCAACGGTGTTTGGTGGAGCAAAATTAGTCTCACATATTGACTACGAGAATGGTACTCCTCAATGACATTGGTAAGGGCATAAACAGGTGCATAACCAATGATCTATTCCATTGAGACGGAAGTAGATTCTGCAGGGCTAAGGTTGGAATATCATCCCTTATTCTTGAAGTTTTAGGTCTTAGGTGTCAAGGATCACGCTTCGGGCATGATGCCACACCTTGGCATGCCCTGATTCAACCATATATTTATGGTAGTAATCAGATCCAAGAATTTGGTAAACTTCCACTTTTTACACTGTTGTTTCAGGAGCGAGTTAGAAACATGGAAGGACGAGAAAAATATTCTCTAGTCAAAATTTGATTGGATTTATAAACTTCATAATTGTACTCATTCATGGACGTAATCATGGTGTGCTTCAGGCAATATCTTTCATGATTAAACGGTCTGCAGAAACGAGCCAAAGAGCCATGGAATCCTTGTTCGGGAGGCATTTCCATTTGTAATGCTTCGAGCATAAGTCTTCGAATGAAGATCATGGCTTATTCAGCTCTTCCTTGCCATTGTTGGTTTCAATTGTTTCTCGGCTTCTTGATAGTCAAGTGGAGATTCACGTCTTGTACCCCACATGAGGTGGTTTTTATTAGAAACATCCAAATCAGGGAAAATCAAACTTGTGACGGTTTGACAATCCACTAAATTGAAGGGAACAAGATTGTGATCGGTGATATGGGAATGAATCATCCATAAGCATCAAAGTTTGAATATTTAAGTTCTAAGACATGGTTTTCATGAAAAAATGTCGGGTTTTCATGGGTTTATTGTTTTATGAAAACTTTGGGTTTCTAAGGCACTAAATTTGAAACTACAGGTTCAATTTAGTTTATGAACGTTTAGTTCATAAAAGAGAGGTTCCTACAAGAACACATAATGAAATATACAACTAAGTGTAGTGGATTTGAGTTTCTTCGGGAACTCAAGTGTGAAAGCTTCGTTACTACGAAAGTATGTCAACGGTTCAAAGTATAAAGATAAATTATTGAATCGTTAATGTCCAAAAGTGATCTTCAGGTCAATAATTTTTTATTCATTATCAGATTAATGGACTGCAGGTCACTTTTAATTAATTCGATAAATCGGGCCATATAGGGTCGATTGTAAAAGCTAAATAATATTAAAATAATATTATTAGGTCAAAAATATTTGGGATGGGTGCTGTAAGTAGGCAAGGCCTTAAAGGCCTCGGGAGTGGACTACAAGCCATAGGCTTAGGTGGGGGAAAAGAACAGCAACCCAAGCTGCTGGTTTGGGCTTCAAGGGGGTGTGAGTCAAGGCCCAGCGAAAGCTAGCATGTGGGTTAAGGCACATGAGCCCCGCCATGTGGCTAGCATCATATTTGGGCCGCAGGGACCAAGCCCAATCATGTAGGCCAGCACCGGAGTGAGCAAGTCATCAGGCCTGCATGGGTGAGGGACAAGAACCCAGCAAGCAAAGCTTGTCATGGGTTGGGTCTAACAGACAAGGCCTAGGAAGGCTGCGAGCTTCCTTAGAAAGTAGACTAGGGCTTTAGGCCCATGCCAGTCAATTAGGCCGAAGGCCTGGGGGTCTGTGTGGTTGTAGCAAAGCCCAAAGGGCTGCTGCCGTGGTTGTGCCACGGAGGTGGTGCAGTGGGTGTGCTATACCATGTCCAAATTTTCCCTTTCTTTTTTTTTTTTTTGAAATCCCCTAGGGTTTATGTAACCCTAAATATGCTTCTAATTTACTTTGTATATATTGACTCACATATTCCACATTGCAAATTTAATTGTGTGATGCATGAAACAAATATATAAACATACACAATATATATATATCGTAAGGAAAATATAAACATAGAGGGTTCATACATTATGGGGAATGTTTTCATGCTTCAAGGTCGTTTCAAATATCTTACTTTATTTTAAGCGTACCTGATTGGCAGAAAACAATAAAAGCCTTTGAATTTGTAGAAGATCCTTCTCATAAAGCCGGAATTGCATCTCTAATGCGTTATATCACGTTCAACACAAAAAAAATTAAATTGAATCAATAGCATGTAGATCAATTCAATAAAATAATAAATTAATCATAAAAAAGAATAATTAAAACGTAATACTTCCCTGATTGAAGATCAAATTCTCTTTAGTGCAACGTCAAGAACATGTTGATAACGTGTTGTAGGCATAATTTACTGAACAATTATGGAGGTCATAGAGAGAGAGAAAGGTGCGGCATAGAGAGAGAGATGTGTAATTGTGGGTGTGTTATATTCCACCCCATTGTGTCTTTATTTATAGTAGTAGGTAAGGTTAATTCGTTACCCTTTTAGGATTACAACTCTTAATAGGTAATCTACTCCTAATAGAAATATAAGAGATATTCGAAGATATATTAAGATTTACACAATCACATTTATAATCTAATAGGGCTGCAACAATATCATATATATAACATACTTTACATAAACCAAAAGCATAAACTAATATAGGTAAGACCTATTTGCTTATATTACAAACAGCACTTATAACGAACCCACACCATTAACAACTCAAGTATGACTATCATTTTAGCGAACGCCATTGTCGTTGTCACCACCACCCTTGCTGTTGAAGTCCGGCCTGGGGATGTAATGGTGGTTGTTCACAGTGCTTCCCGGATACACTACTTGCTTCCCATCCTCATCCAGGTGTCGGTCAAGTCGATATCCACCGTGTTCATTTGAAGTCTTCACCATGGGAAGAGCTCACCATCATCAAAATAAGGGCAGCAGCCACGAACTTCATTGTTGAGCAGCTTTCAGATTCCTCTGTTAATAAAAAAATAATAATATCAAATCTATTTCATGCAAGAACATATATTATCTAACACAAAGATCATGTTAAAACTCTATAAGATTACTTACCCAAGTCAAATTGATATGTATGGATGAGGCAGAAGAAGTTTTTTAGGTCATTTATATAGAGGAATTCTAGGGTTTCTGATTGACAGATTCCTAATATATATATTTGGTGTGGAGTCTCCACCTAATGAGGCAGACTAAGTGGCACGGCCACACAATCTGATCTATATAGAGACTTTTTTTAAAAATTATTATGTCAAATCTTGCCTCGTTCATCAAAAGTGAAATAATTCTTTTGTCTTTTGGTGCTAGAAATAGGAAAATTCCACTTGCGCAGCAGCACAGAGGGACCATACTAACGAAAGTCAACCAAGCGATTTGTCTTCGAGATTTCTCCACCTATGAAAAAAATAAATCTGTGATGTGGCTTATTTCCAAAGACATTTGGTAATGTTTTTGCGTTCAATGATTTCCAATTGCTTAATTTATTATTTGTATTATAAGCACTCAAAATCCAATTGGATCTCAGCCCTCTTTGCAGCTATACATCTTTCCAGCAGCTTCGTAAGAGATTGGCTTATTTTTAGCTACGCAATTTGGAACTCGATTTTAATATTACTTTGTTTCATGTAACTCAAAAGTTATCACTTTACTCCCTCAGAAGCTCAAAGTTCGCTCCACTTTCCCCATGGAACTTGATTTTAATCATATTTTATCCCATGAAACTTGAAAGTTGTCTCTATAAAACTCAAAATTCACTCCACATAGCCTTAGATCTGTTAATTTTTTATGTTGGATGTACCAGGCTAATCAATTTTCTTTTTTCTTTTTTAATCTCTTCAATTTCTTTTAAACTTAATATTCTCTGACGGTTGAATTTTAACACATTGGATATTTATAATCAACTTTATTGCATGTGGCATAGTCCTATTGGGTGTTGAGTACCACATATATTTGAGTAGGCGACCCATAAGTTTCAAGGAGAAAAGAGAGTCCACAAGTCAAACTACAATGAATTTTGAGTTTCCAGAAAGTGGTGACTTTTGAGTTACAAATGGCAAAGTGTGATCAAAATGGAATTTCAAGGGGCGTAGCTAAAAATAAGCCTAAGAGATATGTGAGAGGTGTCACTACCTCAATTATTAAAGAGTGTCTTACTAATTCCTCCTTGGGAACCAGATCCAAATATACTGAGTCTGATAAGCAAGTGACCCGAGCCGTTGAAATTTGATCTAATGGCTACAATTATTATAACTTTTAGAGAGCCCCCTGTTTGAAGCCGTTGGATCAAATTTCAACGCCCGGATCGCCTGCTCAGTAGGCTCAGTTTTATTGGATCCGAAGGGGATCCGATTCCCCTCCTTGAACCTGTACCCTATGGTTAATTTGTCTCGTCAGTTTTTCTTTTGTCCAATTTTAAACTTTTAAAAATGGCCAATTTTACCTTTCATCATTTTTACCCACATTTTCAAATTTTTTTTTTACCAAAAAGTCGCATGGATGTCACTAAATGTTACTAAATTTGCATATAATATGCATATTATATACGTACTTATGTATTTTTTAAAAATACTTTCGTGTTTGTAAATGTTTTAATAATTCATTAATTGTATATTTTTTAAAACTCCAACGTACATAACAGGTACGGACTGTTGATGTTCAATCAAGTTATTTTCACACATTTTTTAATAATATATAAAATTTACATATTTTTAAATAAATAAAACTAATTAATTAATTTCACGTTTTATATTCATTTTGTATTTTACTAACATGACTCAAATTGGATAACGGTTGACACCAACGTATTAAGAATTTATGATATATGACTAGTGGACTCGCGCGCACTATATACATATACATGTATGAGAAACTGAAGAGGAAGGAACGAGGTGGTTGGGACTCGGGAGAAGCTTCATTGCAAGAGAACATGGGAACAGGGAAAATTGTAAGGCGTTTTTCTTCTTTAAGATATTATTTAGTTTTTCAATTTTGAGAAAAATGTGAATGAACATGAAAAAAAGTACCTACTAATTCTTTTCGGCTGCGGTTTTTTTTGTTCTCAATTATGTTTCTCTTCTATATCTCTTCTCTAGTTTTATAATAGGTACTCAATGGCGAAGCTACGTGAGGGTGAGGAGTGGCGGCCGCCCCTCTCTTCGCTGGAAAACACGCCTAGAAGTGCTAGTTCAGCCCCTCTGTTGCATTTTTTTTTAATCTAGGCCAAAACAACGTCATTTTGGTCCTAGTAAAAAAAAATTAAAAATCCTAACGAAACAACACCATTTCGTATTTCTTTTAAAAAAAAAAATTAAATATAGGGGGAACTGCTTGTCCCCCGATACCCCTCTCTCTCTCTCTCTCTCTCTCTCTCTCTCTCTCTCAAATCCTTTCTTGTTACCATTTTCCAATTAGAGCTCTCTCTCTCTCAAATCCTTTCTTGTTACCATTTTCCAATTAGAGAACTCTGATGCCCCCCCCCCCCCCCAATTTCCCAGCAACGGAACCGAAGACCCACTCAACCCTATTTGGCCCATTTGCTGCTGCCATCCGCCAGTTTCTAGCCTTCAAAGCCACTCCCAATTTTAGGTAAATTTTTTAATTTCTAAATCTATAATCCCTAACCCTAATTAATTATTTAATACGAATTTTTGTTTAATTGGTATAGAATCATATGGTAATAGACTAATATGGTTATTGGTTATTAATTATTGATATGAATTCTATGATTATTGATGAATGAAATTATGAAATTATTGTTTACGGTAAAATTTGAATTATTGATTATTGATTAATTAATTGAATTATTAAATAATGTATACAATTATTCATATGAGTAGTTGAATTGAATTTTTGTTTATTGAATCATTTGTATGATTATTGGTATTGATTAATTGAATTGTTGGTTGGATTAGTTATTAGTCATATTAGTATAGTCTACTCTAGGATTAAGAGTCTAAGAAGTCTAAGAATTTTTTTTCTTTCCATTCTACAGTTACGTAACAGAACGATACTATAAGAAACAATGCTTAAATCCCCTTCAGATATTTCGGGTAGTCCTCCTCCTTCAAATATTCCAACCTCATTCGAATATTCCGGGTAGTTCACAACAAAGTAAGGCCACTGAGTTGGATGAAATATTGGTTAATCTTCTTACAGACCTTAGACATAGACATTGAATGCTTGATTATCCACCAAATTATCATGAAGCAATTTGTAGACACTATCTTCAAAATGATCCTTGTTAGCCTAAGGGCCACATCATACCAAGAAAAACTAGCAACATCGATGTTTTATCACCGCTTGGTTTGATATGTTTAAGTGGTTGGAGTATAGTATATTAAAAGATGCTACATTTTTCCATTATTGCTATCTTTTCAATTGTGGTTTCAATCAAATGGGTAGTACTAGAAGTGATGTCTTCACTGAGAAATGGTTTACAAATTGGAAGGAATGACCTGAAAATCTTCAAGTCCCTGAGGGAGGTATTGGGAAGTCTTCATCTAATAAAGTTGTACAACAAGCTAACTAGAGATTTGATGACACAAAAGCAGCACATTGAAACAATTGTGATTAAGCAAACCGATGAAGCTCACATTAATTATCAGACTTATTGAGTGTCTCACTTGAGTGCATAAGATGGTTGTTGGGACATGGTTTTCCTTTTGGGGCCACGATGAATCAATGAAATCAAGCAATAGGGGTAATTATTTGGAGCTTGTGCAATTTCATAATCATAATGAGAAAGTTAGGAAGGTTGTGTTTGAGAATGCTCCCAAGAATCTTAAGTATACTTCTTCCGATATTCAAAAAGATCTTGTCCATACTTGTGCCATTGAAACTATTGATGCAATCACAAAAGGTATGGAAGGTGCATTTTTTCTCTTTTGGTTGATGGATCACGTGATGTTTCAACTAGAGAGCAAATGGTGGTGGTATTGCATTATGTGAACAAAAAAGGAGAAGTAATTGAAAGATTTTTGGATGTGTAACATGTCTCCTCTACAACTAGTAGCTCGCTCAAAGAAGCCATTGAGAGATTATTTTTGTTACAACAAATTTGAGTATGTCCAAGTTACGAGGACAAAATTATGATGGAGCTAGTAATATGAAAGGTGAGCTAAATGGCCTTAAAACAAAGATTTTTTAACAAGTATCATCAAGCATTTTATATTCATTGTTTTGCACACCAACTTCAACTAGCTCTTATAGGTGTTGCAAAGGGAAGTGAGGGTGTTGCCATTTTCTTCAACAATGCTAGTAGTTTGGTCAATACTATTGGATCATCGTGTAAGCATCGTGGTGCATTTAGAGAGAAGAGACAAGAATAAATTAAGAACTCTTGATATATGTGATCTTGAAACTGGTACAGGATTAAATCAAGTGATTAGTCTCATGCATCCTTATGATACATGGTGGAACTCACATTATGGTACTAAGTTAATATTATTGTTATGTTTGAAGCCGTGGTGGAGGTGCTTGGATGGATTAAAGATGATGGCAACCAAGACAATTTGGGTGAAGCAAGTTATTCCACGACATACAAACTTTTGATTTTGTGTTTCACCTTTTTTTTATGACTTATATAGAGAATTATAAATGAGTTATCACACGCATTACAAAAGAAAGATCAAGGTATTGTGAATGCGATGGCGTTAGTGGAAGTATGCAAGCAAAGACTACAATCTTTGAGAGATGATGACTTTGGGTACTTGCTTGATGATGTACGAAAGTTTTGTGAGGAGCATGAGATTATCGTTCCTAACATGGATGATTTGCATTTCGTACTCGTAAAATCAAGGCGTAAAGCTCCAAGACTCACAAACTTCCATTACTATCCTGTGGACCTCTATTTTCAAGTCTTTGATATGCCACTAAAGGAATTGAATGATCACTTCAATGAGGTAAACTCGAGTTGCTTCTTTGTATGGCATGTTGCGTGAATAATTTTGCATCTTTTGACAAAGCAAAAATTGTTCGTTTAGCCTAACTTTATCCTCAAAATTTTGATCGTATGGACCTCATGAATCTTCCAATTCAACTTGACAATTACATTCATGATATGAAGATGCATAGTGAGTTTTCATCATTGAGAGGAATTAGTGATCTTGCAAAGGAGTTGGTGAAGACCGGGAATGTGC